CAAAGGTAGGATCTTGCGCAGGGTGACAGGAAGGATGCTCCTTTTGGTCTGATTGTGCCCCTCTGCAATCTTTGTAAGAGCCCATTCAACCTATGGCAGTTTTTACTCCTTCGGGATGTCTTAATTCACTGGATAGAAATAATTGCTTAGGAGAAATATCTGGCCTAAGTGTCCTCAAAGTCTGAGTTTAATTGTCAAATCGTCACTTTCTGCTGATGATGAAACTTCCCAATTAACAATGGATGGATTTCCTACCCAGCTGTAAAAGGCAGAAAACTCTCTTGCCCACTCACGGTACAATCAGACTGGGCCACACGGATTTGGATCTTGATCTTGGCCTGGCGGTAACTGTGGGAGCTATGTCAAACCATTTCACATTTTTGGTCTTTAGGGTCTTCCTCTTGAAAGTGGAGCTCCTTCCTCTCCTACTCACATTATTCAGTGGAGTTTGGTGGTCACTCCCATCATTAGAAGCAGACCTTGTCTATTCTGGTCACTGCTCACCAAACTCTGTGGCTTTGAAGTATCTACTTTATAGCACAGCTACATCACATGGTGGTGTGAAGCTGTGATGGCATTATATGTAAAATAATTTGCACAGTGCCTGGCACATGGTGAGATGTGGATTCTATTTTTGTTTTTAAACCTTCCTAGGAAACAGGTAGGAGAGAGAGAATGGGCTCTGGAGTCGTGAAGCCTAGCTCCTTGGACAAGTTAACTGGACTTCAGTTTCTTTGCCTATAGCATAGGTAGAGAATCTTCACTCGAAGGCAGTGTATGGCTTGCTTGTTTGTTTAGTGTGCTGTGCATTGAACCCAGGGCCTCACATTTGCTAGACAAGCACTCTAACACTGAGTGTTAATGTGTGGTTTTAAAATACAATAATGTTATGTAGGATAAAGGAAAAATGTTTGTGGTCTCAAAATGAGTTCTCTACAGCTGCTGATTTCCTTCTGCCTTTTCCCTATCTTCTACAGAGGAGAAAAGTAAAATGGAAAAACCAGTGAGAACACTTTTAAAACAATAACTCATTGTATAAATCTGACATATAAGTGCTTCTTTCTTAAATGTAAGAGGACTGGAAAATAGCCAAAAGACCAAAAGAGGCCTCAGATTGAGGCAGCAGAGAATCAGGGATCCCAGTTCATCAGCCTGGATGATCATCCCTGTAATCAGCACCTGGGAATCCTCAGATCCTCACAGCCAAGTGTCAGGGAAAGAGTACGGCTCTGGAACCAGCCTTGAGTTCAAATTCTCCCTTCGATCTACACTTTGTAACTCAGTTTCCTCGCTTGTGAAATGGGGATAATAAATCCTTCTTCCGAGAGAGATGGTGAGGTAAAATGCTCAGTGGAAAGATGTTTCATAATCAGGATTTCCCTTCTTCTTCACACAGGTACAGACCTCACGACCACTGATTCTGAGTGTGTTTATCCATCATCCAGAGGGGATATGGATCAGACTTCCTGAGCCATGACTGCAGGACTGCTTCATGGTGAGACTGGACACCTGGCTGTTGTCTCCCGCTGCCCTTAGAGGAAACACTGTGGCCCTCGAGTCTACCTCTTCTTTGCCTTCGGTCAGTCTCAGTCTCCATCTTGAGTATTTCTCTTTTATTCTCCTATGCACCATTTTGTGATCATGCTTTGCGAGAACATTCTCTCCATGCTCACCCAGTGGATTCTTGCTTTTTGTCCTTTAGGTCACCTCTTCATGAGAGTCTCTATCCTCTGTCAACCCATTTACTCTTAATCTTTGGGATACGCTATTTCCTTTACACCATTTATCACAATTTAAATTATATATTTCTTTTCTTGTTTTTGTATGTCTTTCCTATTAGATCATAAAGTCCACTGGGTCAGGGCCTCCACCCAATTCACTTGTAACTGAATGATCAGAGCTTGCCATGAAAGGTTTTTCAATGAATAGTTGATCCGTAAATAAGTATTCATTTCAGGTTTGAAAATACAGTCTTTATAGGCATAAAACTTTATGACCATGTGAGTTTCTTAGAAAGCTGCTCAGCAATCTTAATTTTGGATAATTAAGCCGGTGCTATTTTATTATGAGAAAATAATGAAATAGTATCCAGGAGAACAAGCTAGAACCGCAGATACTTCAGAGAGAGAGAGAGAAAAAAAAGAGGGTTTTCTTTTCAATGCCATAAAGGAGAAATCAACCTACTTCTTAAAAACAGCTAACTTTTAGGCCACAATTATTCCTGTCTGATTTAAGAAAGATGAGTTCTACTGTGCTTTTCCTTGTTTCTCTGTCCAAGCAAACCAATTAACAACCACAATAGGCATGGATTTTGAGTCCTGGCAGAATCAAAACCACTAGTATAAATTCTGGATAAAAGCTCGTAAGAATGTTATCATTCAGCTAAAAGTCTGGAGACTGAAGTTTCAAATTATTTTTCTTCCCTTTTTGGGTCACTGCTGTACTAAAACTTCTAACATATCCTTGGAGTTATTTCCATTTGAGCATGAGGGAAGCTTCACAAACATCCGGGCTCATGTTGAGTTTGAGTGAGTTGTTAAGGCTAAAATATTCAAGGACAATACTGTTTTACACAGATAAAAAGATTCTAATTATTTGTGTAGGAATCAACTCTCGAATGATGTTAGCCACATGGGTCATAAGAACCTCTGAACAGATAGAAGGTTTGTCCTTGTTTGGAATTCAGCTCTCTGAAGGCAGGTCTACCATCAGCCTCCTGAATGGCTACTGCCTCTGGCAACTCAATACACAGACACTGCCAATAACTCTTTTCTTAAGTATCACCTGTTATGTTAAAAAATGTTTCTATGACAAGATAGAAAAGGGGATTAAAGGCTCCAAACATGAAGAAATGATGCAGTGCTAGAAACATTAATTACCCTGATGTGATCAGTGCACATTGTGGACATGTTTTAAAATCCCACACTGTAGCCCATTGAGTAGTACAAGTATTACATCGTGATTAAAATGCAAAAATTAATTGCTTTTTAATTGCAGTTAGTAATACCCGCCACTGCCTATAAGTTGGAGTCAAAACCCTTTCAAGGCTGTTGCATATTTGCTCCAATGCAATGTCCAAGCTTGCTTGGACAAAACCCTGAAACTCTCCTGCCAGACAACTTATCATTGCTGCTCCTGAATGTGCTCTGAGAAAGGGGTCAAGATTGTGCCATCTCCCCTCTGATGACATGCACCTTCAACTTCCTGGTCTTTTAGTGATTCTCTCATCGAAGTTCTCATGAAAGCTCGTGCCCAGAAGCATCCATCTGAGCTCCCAGAGGCTTTCTCGTCAGTCATGTTTCACGGTGTTGAGTTGTTGTTTTATATGGCATTGCAGTTTGTGTTGCTTACATTGACATGTGTGCCCGACACTGACTGCAGAAATCTAAAGCTGGGTTCCCTCACTTGCGGACCCATCACTGGGTCCAATGTCTCTCCATCCTTTCAATAATTCTCACTTTTTGGTCAAAGCATTTGAGTGGGTTTTTGTTCCTTGCCAACAAATAATCTTGAATAAAACAATTGTCATTTGCATATATTTAAGATGGGAACTTCCTATCTGATGCAGGATTGTTTTTCACAATTTTCAAAACTCAGAGTCATATATGTCAATTTTCTAAAAGTTTACCTGGCCCACTTATTTTTTAAAAATGTAGATTTGAAATAAGCACATACTTTGGATTCATCTCCAATTGACTATAATAGAATCTTCTGGGAAAGGGCCTAAGAAGTGATATTACAAGCACGATTCCCAGGTGACTTTTTTGGTACATATTCTGGAAAATTTAGAGAATCAGGGGAAGCTAATGTTAAGGTCCATCACACGATGAGGCTGGGAATTGGAAGAGGAAATGATTCATGGGCTTCAAATACCTTTTATGTGCTTGGCAAGATAGTGGGTATGACATGTCTTTCTTGGCAATAATCCTCCAAAATTTCTACCTTATGAATTCCTTTTTGCCAAGAAACAAGCGGCCAAAGATCTCTACGTGGCAAGAGCTTGTGCTGGCATTGAAACACTGTGCTGATCAATTCCCAAGGTCAACTTCTTTCTCCCTCTGCTTTCCATTCGTCTAGTGCTCCTGGCAATCTATGGATGATCTCAGATATCACACAGAGACACAGCCATGCTGGGGCTTCCTAAGTTTACCTGGGAAAGATACTGAAGTTCCAGCCAATAACCCCTAGACCAAGAATCCCTTAAGAAGGTTGTGGTCCTTGAGTTCTGAATTTGTGTCCTGAACCCCAAGTCTGGAGCTTGGTGGGCTCCCATTGATGACCATAGGTTGCCTGGCTAGTCTTACCTATGGGTGGATATTATTACAGGTACAGCACACACATCGGCTTCCCAGCTGAAGCTTTAAAGGCCATACATCTAATATTCCAGCCAAGAGCCTGGTCTGGATATGAAGAGTGGAGAACCGAGGCCCCAGAAGCCAGTGTCCCCACACATCAAACAAGAAAAGGACTGTAAAAACCACGTGTATGTGGAAGGAGGGATGGTAATTGTGCAGTCTCTAGAAAACACAGAAGCCCAGACTGTACCTCAGACTTAGAGACCCAGGCATCAAGAGTTCCAGGTGACTTCAGGGGGTCTAAGCCACCTCTCCTGGCCAGGTAACACAGGTTCAACCCTCTAATGTTCCAATGACAGCTTGTGTGCAGTCACAGCTGGGAAACCTGAGGTCAGTCAAATGCAAATGAGCAGCCACAAGTCTGTCCAGTAGAGCTGAGATACCACCTCAAGTTTGGCTCCCTGCCCACACAGGCTCTTTGTCAGCTTTTAACTTTTCCTTGCTGGGTAGAACGGGCAGCATGGAGTCTAAGAAGAGGAACAGCCTTAGAGGCTGGAAGGAAATGTGAGATGCAGACCAAGAGATACAAAGGAATGTTCTCTCGGGCAGAAAAACAGCAATCTCAGCAAGACAGACGAGGGCATTGATTGCAGACTGAGGACAGAAAGTGCCTCCCGACCCCCTTGGAGGATGCGTGCTACTCACAGAGTGGATGATGCCCTGCAGGGCCTGGAATCCGTCATTCACGGGGAACACGTGGTCCTTACTGTCTGCAATCCGGGCCAGCTGTGCACCGCGCAAACACAAACATACACAGAGAGACATCAGGTGAGGATGCAGAGAAGGAAATAAAGTGACTGCTTCTGGGGTTCTCACCTCCATCTGGAACCTGGAGGATCCCAAGGCGTTCACTGGGCTCAGGGCCCTCCTCGAAAGCTCTGCAGCAGCAATGAGCTTAGCAGAGGCTCCCCTGGAGCAGGCCTGAGGGGCGGCTCCAGTTTTTACATTTGTTTTAATGCTTTTCTCCTTGGGAGCAGAGGTAGAATTACCCAGCTGGATGAGCATTTGGCCTGGGATGGTATATTTATGAATTTGGGGATAGGCCATTGGCTCCTTTTCCTCCCATTCACCCAAATTCCTGTTAGCCACTTTACCTGAATAAAACGGACTCAGGTTTCTTTTCAGAGCAATTTAAAAAAATAAATTCAGGCTTTGGTGTTGGGCGAGGTCAATGAATAGGGACCCCAAATGTTCCCCTGAACCATGCATAAGGAAAAGGGATCTTGCTTTTGCTGTGCTTTATGCAGCAGAGGACGAACAGCAAGGAGAATCTGATCTGTGAGTTTTTCCACCCAGACTTTGTGTGGTTCTGTAACTGTCACAGTCAGACTCAGTGCCAGTCAGAGTCAGTGCATACAATTAAAAGTACTTTTTTTGTTTTTACTGACTGCAAAAATAACATATACTCATTGTTAAAATCTAAGAAAATCCAAGACAGTTAAAATAAAAAGTCATCTGTGATCCTTCCATATTTATCATCTCTTTGTTAATAATTTGAAATATATAATTTTTAACACTTTGTCAATGCAAATACAAGCATATTTAGTCTGAGCGGGCATATAGTCCTTCCACTGCTTTACGATCCTATTCTGTTCATTCAACAATATATCATGCACATTTTCCTATGCCATTGTAACAAAAAGAAATTATGAATTACATTGAGGACCATTTATTTAGGTTGATAGTAGTTGTTCAAAATTGGCCTATATGTATCTGCGTATACTTTTTTGCCCCACCTGTCTGATCATCACCATATTTGGGATTGAAAATGTGTTAGAGTTTTCATATGCAAAGGGAATATGTATCATTTGAATCAAAATATACTTGTCAAATTAAATGAAAAGAAAATAAATGTTCAAGATAATTTAGATCAATTTACTATTACTGGGACAGTGTCAATTTACTCTTTCTGGGAAAGTCACTAAGAGAGATGCTGCTTGAAAGGTCTGTGCCTAAGATCCTAAGTGTTTCAGAAAATGGCTTTACATTTTTACACACCATTGACTCCTTCCTGGAAAGCATTTCTGGAAAAATAGCCTAGCTGAGGGATATTTGTCTTGCTGATATGTCCTTTGTATGGAATGCTCAGGTTTTCCATTTTCATGAGATCGGTATGTTCCCAAACCTGATGAAATACACCATCATACCTGTGTTTCATTGAAATCTTTCACACCCACACAGTAAACGATTGCACCAAGATCTCGGGATCTGTTGGCCTGTGTCAAAGAAACAAGGACATTAGAGAGAGGCAGTGGCAAACACACTCCTGTTGGGTTTTCCAGACTAACTTCAATGATTGGGTATTTGAGCACCAGCCATGTACCAGGCAACACAGTGAAGAAAGCAGCCCTTGTTCCTACGAGGCTCATGTTCCAGTTAACATCACACTCAACATCACCGAGAGTAGCCTAGAGGACAGTGATCAGTCTGGTAGGAAGTGCTGACAAGCTCTATTGAACTAGAGTATCGATAAAGGCCTTTGAAAGGTGAGGAGAGTAAGGGAAAGTGCAGGCTAAGACAAGTTAAAATAAATCTTGTGGGGAAAATGATTACCTCTTCTAAACCTCAACTGGATTTTTAATGCCACATTTTTATTTGAAATGGCAGCATATTAGCACAAAAGAATGTGGCCATTGGGACCAGCTATATCTGAGTAAGGTCTTTTTCATTCCCATAGAATAAACTGGTTTATTGGTTGTTCTGTATTTGAATAGGTGAACACATGGTCTCCTTTACACTTAATCATTGAAGAGGCAACATAATAACATTCAGGTTTTGCTTGATTTTAATATTTGATCTATTAAAGGCTCTGATAATTTGTTTTCCAGGTTCTCTCGTGCTACAGAATAGAAAACAAAAGTAAGAGATTGTTGGTGTCTATAATTGATGCTCAATAAATAACTGATAACATATAGTAAGTCCTTAATACATGGATTTTTATATGAATTCTCCCTCTACCTCGGTGATCAAACTTATTTATATCTAATACTGAATTTTGGAAAGGACAGAAGTGTCTTTTCCCCTCTGTGCTGGAAACATTTCCTGCTGCTTTCAGGATAAATCAAACTTCTAGAGTCAGTCTAACACCAGTTTGATCTATAACAGCACTGTGATTCTTTTCCTGTAGTCAGGGCTTTCTATAGAATTATCAAGAATGGATAATTATATCCCAGCATTTCTTTTTTCAGAAAGTTTTTTTCCTGGCATTGGCATTCTGAATATTTTTCCCAGTCTGTATGGACCATATCTAAAATTCCTTTCTCCTGACCCTTTTTTAAACCACCAACATTCATCATTTATTTTTTAGTTCTTTCCTTATAAAGGGTTTTTACTTTATTTGACCATTATTTAGCACCCAAATAAGCCGTTTGGCATTGCTACCACATAGTTTCTACCTTACAATATAGAAATGTGTTCTTTCCCACATGCTTGGGGAATGTGTCATCCAGCTTGTGTGTTTCCCCGTGCTGAGAAGGTATCCTCTACACTGGTGGGAGAAGGCAGGAATAATAAAGCAGGAAATATTGTATGGTAAGATCCGCAGGGCAGTAACCGGGTGTCGCTCACTCTTTGTCTCTAGTGTCTAGCAAGCTCTCCGCTACCCTCTGAGTCATTGAGTACATACTTCATACTCATGGGGACAGGTGAGTTAAACAGCAATCTAGAGCTTGAGGGAAGCATAATAATAACTGTGATTGGCTCCTCCCAGAGCTCCCCCCATTCACTTCCCTTTTTACTTTGACCTGAATGAACCTGTGTCACTAATAAAGCTTCAGTACACTCCCATGGTTAAGCTTGGTTCCTGAATCCAGTGGTACCTGCAGCCTAATTCTAAGTGGAAAAGATTTCCTAAGTATAACGTAACTTTGCAATTCTTGAGTATGCTTCTTTTTCTAAGTTCAGTTTCACAAACTAGAGGCTTCATTTATAGAATTCTTTTATTTATTTATTTACTTATTTTGGTACTGGGGATTGAACTCATGACCTAGTGCTTGCCAGTCTGGCGCTTACACCACTGAGTTAATCCCTAGCCCCCATTTATAGAATTCTTTTACTTAGAAATAATTTTTCAGAACATAAAAAAGGAAAGAAGAAATACAGCTGAGAGATTATAATTAACTTTGCAACCAATTACCACTCAGTTTTGGCTCTTAGAGTGGCAGTCAATGATTAGGACATTCTGTGAAGACAGACTCCTGTGTATTTCAAAATTTTTTCCTTTTCTCTTGATTTAGTGGAATATAAGAGGAAAAATAAAGGGAAAATAACGCTTTTTGTTAAAAGTGATATATGACATTTAAAAACTGTTAAAACAATATAAAGCCTTTAGTAGAGATGTGGTATATATATTTTTATCCTCCAAAACAGAATAATATGCACAAATTTTGAAAGGGGGAAACATATATTACATGTAATGCATCAAAATTCAGTTTTAAAAATGAATTATTATGATTATGTTTACATATGAAACAACTCCTGAGTTCTACAGGGAACACTTACCACTTTTCCTGAGTACAAAGTACAGTTTTTGGGGGAGAAGCCCTGTTTCTCTGTATGTTGTTTGGAGGCTTTGAGGATTGAGCCCAGGATCTCAGGGAGGCTAAGCACACGTTCTATCACTGAGCTATACCCTCAAGCACCCAGGTGTGTGTTGTGTTTAGACACTGGCAAACCATTGCTTACCTCCCTCTCGGAATAGAAAAAGAGATCTTCATGGAGTTCCCCATCAGTCAAAGCGATGATGACACTTGCTGTCCGGTATCCTGCTCAAGAGAACACAGACCAGCTCAGCCTTCTGCCTCCCCCAGGACACTTTCTCTCAGCCTTAGGAGTTTGTCTAAGTTCAACCACCTAAAATCAATGTTGTGAAAATCACCAGCTTTTATTTGGGGCCTGAGTGCAACTCCAGCATAAAGCATGGTTCCACAGGGACAGGTTTAGGTTCTGGGTTTCTTAGTCTTATCTCAACCAACAGCTGATCTGGTCTAATGGATAGAAGTGCCTAGTCACTGGATAAGACTGTTTCCAGTGAGCCAAGTGTTACTGTTTCCTGTGAGTAGTCCCTATGCCTGTAAACCAGGCTTGAGAGAAAACCCTGCCACCTGGGATTTTTTTGTCCCTTCTCACATGCTGTAGTTGACCCCAGCACTATCCTTTGAAGAGAATTTGGCAAGAATTCATAATCATCATGATTTGCAAGCTGACTGGAAGTATTACAGAAGTTGGCTAGACCTACTAGAATTCTTTTGGTGATACTTAGACTTCTAGTAACAATGCTCATAGCTGATTTATTTTAGCAAGTTTTGGTGTTGATATTGGATCTGTTTTATTTGGTGCAGTTCAAATCAAACAGGAAGTAGATACTTCTTTACAGGCCTAAGCAGGAATTTCCCTACCTCCCACACTATCACACTGATATCAAGTATAATTTTTTAAGAGATTTATCTGAGATAAAGAAATAGTAACTATGAAAGTTGTAGTAATAATAGCTAAAATAATAATAGTTATTATTTCTATTACTAGGTAATCTGCTAAGAATTTCTTTTGTATTCTTTCATTTAAATGAAGGAAAAGTTTAGAACTTAATTTAACATATCCAATTCACAGTAATGAAGATGCTTGGAGGTTAGAGAAGGACAAGATAATTAGATTTGACATAAAAATCCAAGACTTTAGTAACCAATCCAAGTATTTACTAATTTAATGAATTCAACATGCAAAACTACTTATGGGAATTACAGCTTGTGTCCATAATGGAATTTTAATTATTTTTATAGTATAACTTGACATTAACAGGACAGTAGAATTTGACGTGGGACATGCCATCTTTCCATGCATTTTTCTTTGTGATGAGTGTGTGTCCAAAGATTACTGACAATATCATATGCACATTTTACAATATGAAATTACTGAGACACCTTTTCAGAAACTGAGAAAAACATTAAACATTTCATAATGGGTAGTTTATACTCTCCTCTTACCTTGACTGTTTTCATAATAAATCTGCTCACTGGCCTGAAAAACACATGAACAACCCATTAGACATTTAAGCACTATTTGCCACTCTAAATAACATACTGAGTAGTGAGCTGGCACTGGATATGCAGCCAAGGCAATCTTGGGTCTTTATGTAATTCACCCAGGCCTCACTCAGTGATGCCAATGGAGAATAACATAAAGTTATCCTCACATGTAACGTGGACATGGATAATATCTTGCTCCTCAAAGCCCTGTACCTACTTCCCTTAAAGTCACTGGAATTCTGTCTCAGCCACTGATGCTGCCATCCAACGAAGGTCACTTTGGGAACTGCAGAGAACTGAGTGTGGTGTGATTCATGAGTACCATCCAATCATCAGCTAACAAACCAGAAGTATCAGCAAAGAAGGAAAAAAATCTGTTTCTTTAGCTCATTGGATACAGCTATCAGTGTAGACAGTGCACAAGTTTATTTTATTTATTTATTTTTTGGTACTGGGCATCGAACTCATAACCTTGCGCTTGCCAGGCAGGCACTTATGCCGCTGAGGTATATCCCCAGCATAATGTGCAAGATTATAAGGACAAAAATTAGACTCTTTTGCTACAGGGTGTTGTTCAGTTCCCTTAATGCACATACTTTATCTCACAAGCCATTCTTTGTTGTTTCCATAATGCTCTTCATAATTAGTGTTTAAAATTGTCTTAAAATTACCCTTACGAATCCTTCATGCATGTAAGTATCTCCTCCTGGTAGAACTTTCTGTAATTCTTCTAGGCCTTGACGAATCTGTTCCCTGAAATTCAAAGATACTCTGTTAGTCTTAGTAAAGCATTTTAAAGTAAAAATGGTATACTGCTGATAGCGATATGCACTGGTCTTATTTCCAAGGGTACTCATCTGGTACCCAAAAGTCTCCCAAAAGTCACCAGAGGGAAAGTCTTTGTATACACTACCCATGCAGGGTCGGCCAAGGCACAGGATGACCAGAATTTCAAGGACCAAGGAAAGGACCCTGCTGCGGGAAGCCCATTTGCTTGTGAAAAATTTCCTTTCCCTCAACAGGGACACTTTTCATTCTATGTTGGAAATGAATCTTAAAATGCAACTGCTGCCAAGGGGCCACATGACAGCTCAGGCAATGATGGGAATAGTTCCTGTGAGCCAGAGGGAGCCAAGTACCAAGAAACCAGGGAAAGGCCACCACAGGGATACGGTGGGAGCGGAAGGCCTCTGGGGCAGACTGCTCTGTGCGCGGTTGTGCCAAATGAAACCATGCATTCAACACTGAAAATAAAAACCCAAGGAATCGGTGCTTTCTAGGACAACCAAGAGTGTTTTCTGTGGGCCTGTGCCTGTGTTTTCCTACTCGGGTTGCTCAAGGTGACAGGCGGGGAAGGAAAGGGAAGCGAGGCACGGCAAGGGAAAAAGTGCAGACTTGCAGTGGAGAATGCGAGCAGTTTGGAGGCCAAGGAAATCCTCGTGGGCCATTCTCTCTAGGGTGTAAGATGCTCACACTCATGTTAGCTTTTGTGCCACAAAGGCGAGAGGCTAATTTGTGCAAAACGTACCTATTTATAAAATTTATTCATCAATGTAACTTCATTCATAAACCTAGGATAAGATTTGAAATTGCCTTTCTCCCATTTGAGAGACTCTAAGGGAATAAGATAAACACATAGTATTTAAATTAAAAAAGAAAGCTTCTTTCTGAGTAGGGAAAGAACCTATCACTTCCCCACCACCCACTGTGTACAGGGTACTGCTCAAAGGTTTCTGATTTTGCCTCGTGATAACCACTCTACACAGGTATGAATGCTCTGTGATAGTGGAAAAGTTGACCTCGGACAGGTTACGCAGAAGAACAGTGATTTGAAGTCAAATTTGCCTCGCTCAATGACGTCTTTCTCCTCTGTAAAGTAACCTAGCCTGGAGCCGTCCTGGAAACGTGGTAAGCTCTCAAAAATAACCCGCGTCAGCGAAGCTGGGTACTGACACTGTGCAGGCTCTGAATGACTGAATTAATGAACAGAGCATGACCAGTTTATCCCACAACTGCTTGGGGAGAAATTTTAATGAAAAAAAAATGGGATAGTTAAAGCAGTGTCACTGAGACTTTGGGCACTATACTATCATCTGATTGTCTTATTAGTATACAGATACTAGGTCACACAGCCAGCTGCCCAGGTAAGAAATTGGATGCTTCCTTGTTTCACTACTAATGTTTAAACTCCGTTCACGTCTCCACATCCACTATCAGCAAACTGTGTTGCTTTTACTTCAAACATACCTACAAATGAGCTGCTTCGCTATCTTTTGTCAACACCACAGCCTGAGTCATCCTGTCTTGTTATCGCCCATCTCCTGCCCACTTGCTTGGCTTCCTTTTACTTTCTGTGTGGCTGCCAGGGTTTTCTTAAAATACACACCAAGCCATGCCATCCTCTCCCCTCCTCAAAACCCTTCAGTAACAACAATCTGTGAGATCTTTGCCTCGGGCTTTGCAATGCCGCACAGGAAGGCTTTTGCCTCCCTGTTCAGCCTCATCTTCCTGCACTTCAGGCGCTCTGGTCTTCCCAAGCCTTTCCTCTGCCAGACCTTCCACATCTGCAATCTCTGCTGCCTGCGAAGCTCCTCATAGGGCTCCTTCTTACTCAGGCTTCAGTCCCAATTTAAATGTGAATTGCTCTCAATGGTGTTACTTATCTCCCCCAATCCAAATGATCCTCCTCTATTAGACTTTCTCCTGACACCTATAATTTTTGCTTCGTAGAAATTAAGTCATTTTACAATTAATAGTATTTGACTATGTAATTGTTTGGTTTCTTTTTGTTGCCAGTTCTAGACTCATCAGGGCTAAGCATCTCTTTTGGGGTTCCCCCTACATCTTCTATGTCTATTTGAGTGCTTGGTACATAACAGACACTTAGCAGATGTTTACTAAAGTTCTGGGTGGAGGGAATAGGTGTCTCCATTGATCATCTTGGGAAGAGACCAGGTTTTCAGAAGGGACAATCTTTACTTTGCCATATGGAGGAAAGCTAAGGAGAAGCCGACCGGTTATTGGGCCTTTGATGTTGTTACAAACCAAGCTCTCTGTGTTGTGTGTCTGATTTCATCTCTAATATTTTAACATCATCCACCGGAAAGGTGTAGATTAATTTCAAATCTTATTTGCTAATGAGAAAGGAAACTATCTCATGCTTTAGAAGAAGACGTAACAATGAAAGCAATGTATGTCCGCCTCCAGGGCTATGCACGCGTGTGTGTTTGTGAGGGGGCCCAGCAGTCACCTGGCTGGGGGGCAACACTGGTCTACAGGTTGGCAGCTGCATGAGGCTACAGCAGCATAAGCAGCAGTAATGTGACAAGAGGGTGAGGCGAGGATAGAGAAATCAGAATCTATTCCTGAGCATACAGGAAGAGCATTATGGAATTTTAAAAAACAGCTGGGGGACCCTGTGGAGAAGAAGGCTCATTTATGACAATTAGGTAAGAAAAGATTGGGTATTAAAGGTAAAAATGATCTTATTCTTCGGTCATAGGCGAACACTAAAACTAGAATGCTGTGTTAAGATTAAAGCTTACAAAAATGGCCTAAAAAGGCATAAAGGGGTGTGGAAAAGGTTCCTTGGCTTGACTCTTTTTTTTCCCTGCCAAGTAAAGTCTGGGAACTTGGGTATTTTTCTGTAAGCCTATTTCCTTTCCTTTACAAGTATTTCTTGAGCTTTCTAAACCTTCTGATACCAGAACAAGCAAAGGCTGTTTTGGAAAATGTTCTCATTCTTGATGCTCTGTGTCTGGCAAGATATGAACTCACTAGTTACAGTTACCCCAGCTTCCCCACTACACCAGCATCTTAAAAGACCACGTGACTCCCGCCCTCCCCAATTCCTTTGCTTCTTTTCTAAGCACTGACAACATCTAGACAAACAAAACAATGGTTTCAAGGGAATTGTGGTTTTTTTTTTTTTTTATACTCTGGGAAGCTATTAATACAAGTCTCTTCTTTATTTTTTCCTAGGAACTGAGAAAACTGGTTGAGAGATCTTTCAAAAGATGATAAGGACCTCTCTGAGAACTTAGTGATTACCAAATGCAATGTTATCTTCCTGGGAATGAGACTGGCTGGGAATCCTACAAGACAGGCTGCTATTAAAAGGTCCTATTTTTCTCGGTGGTTTCATATGTCTGCCAGTGTTCCTGCTTAGAAGTTAAGGGTTTTCAGGCCAGATGTCTTATGTTGCTTTTGCAACCCCCACAGCACTTAAGGATGGGCTGTGTGATTACCAACTAAGTGGTTCCAGTTTGGATGTATTGTTCATTCACTGCCACTACTATTTTTTGAGTCTATGCCACGCACCTAGCTACACCAGCCTGTAGGGGCAGCAGGTGGGGAGAATCAGTCACAGTGTCTTCAAGACTTTTGTTGTCCTGGGAATTTTTCTATGCTTTTGGAAGATTACTTTCTGAATTCTAATTGTATTGCTACATTTTGATAATATTTGCTGATTACCTTATACAAGCACATTAAGAAGTAATTCAGGCTTTTAGGGATCCTACTGATGCTCCCACTGCAAAATTCTTGGAGTTATACAATGTCAATCATATTTTTGTTCTATAAAAACAATCTCTACCACCACCCAAAAATAACCCAGCATCAGCTCCGCATTGTTCACCCTTTAAAAAACTTCTGCGGAATCAGACATTTCTCAAATGCTTTGCTATTGTTGGCTTTGAAGCCTCACTTTATAAACACATATCAGTATTTATTACCACTAATGCGACTCTCAAACATTTCCAATGGCCTTACAGTTCTTGTTGTAGTGAACGGAAAACAGATTAAAGGCCTTTTGCTATTACTTTTGCAATTATGAAGCTCTGAAGCACACTATAATTACGTGTGATAATATATATAGATCATGACTTCTTCTTTTACCTGAGGATAGGCTAACATGCTTTATAGTAACAAAATGCAGACTGAACCAAAGCTCTTTTTCTGTGTATTTTAATGAAGTATAATTTATATATTATTTATACACACACAGATTTTGTTCACTTCTGTTGTAATTGTTGGATTTATTTCTATAAAGCTGTGCACAATATTCTTTCCTTTTTTTTTTTTTTTTTTTTGTCTTTTTCCTTTTTATCGGTACTGGGGATCGAACTTATAACTCATGACCGCCTGCTTCCAAGGCAGGCGCTTATGCCGCTGAGCTAAATCCCCAGCCCCCTATTCCTTTATTTTCTAACACCTGTAGGATCTGTAGTAATATCTTTCCTTTCATTCCAGATACTGCTGTTTATGTAAACTGTATTTTGTTTTCTCTTTTAGACATAAATGTTACTAAGAGTTTATCAGTTTGGTCTTTTGAAATACTCAACTTCGACCTTTGTGGTTTCAGTTCCAACTTTTTTATGATCAGTGTTCGCATAGTGCATCTTTCCCTATTTTTTCATTTAAACCGATTGTTATCTTTATATTTAAAAACCATCATTTGTGGCAGATGGTTATACTTCAGCCTCCAGGGATCACTTCTCCCAGTATTTCTACCTTTGTATATTCTGCACCTGGCCATGTAATTTACTTTAGCCCATGAAACTACAGAACTTCAATCACGTAAGCACGAGGAATGCTGAAGTTGTGTAAGCACCTGTATCCTGGGGTTCGCCATCTTGGAATGAGGCAGCTACCTGGTCTTCTAGCCTTCCTTGAGAAGGAAAGACCATCTTGACAGAAAGGTCCTCATCTGTCTCAAACATATGATCTTTTCCAGCTGAGTTCAATCACCAATT